TGGGTATTCAAAAATCAATTCCAGATGTACAGTATGTCCTAGTATAATTGTACCATACTTCCTATTGGAAAACAGTTAGCCCTAAATAAGCGCATTGAAGATTTTTTTTGCAAGCCTTTATCCACCCTTCAAGTATATTGAGAGTGCAGCTCCTAAAATTCCCAATCTGTGGCCCCTTCTGGAGGGCCTTTGTTTGGGAAAGCTTGCCATAATGTTGTTCAATCATGGTCATTATATTACAGTATAATTTGTCATCATCATATTACATAACTGTTTTAAGATAAATGTAATGCTCCTTCCTGCCTTGCTAAGGTGAGATTTTCATTTTTCAAATTATGACCTTGCTAGTATTCAGCTTAACCAGTTTATGTTTACATAGTTGGATCAAGCAGAAATTTCCCTTTTGTCCCACAATTCAGTGGGACAATTCATTGTACTGAATTGCCCTGCCTTGAATAAATGATAATCTCCATTATCAATTTCCCTGCTAATTGAATCTGGTTCAGGTTGCAAAGGATTTGTTGGGAATAGCCAACACGTTGCGACCATATTCTTTCAAAGCTCTTTAATCTTGGCCTGATATATTTCCTTACGGAATTCTCTGCTTGCTGTCCAAATCCTGCAGATTCCTGTTCGCCTCTCTTGGACGCAAGGATCTTTCTAACCATCTGAAGTCTCATTCTTGCCATTTGCCCCCAACAAACCTGTCCACAAGGTGGAAGAGGATCTCTTTCCCAGTGCAATATTCTGCGATCAGCACCAGATAGCGAGGAGTAATGTAGGCTTCGTGGAGGGTCATGATGCGTTCGTGGTGCAGACCCTTAAGGATCTCGTACTCCTGCAGGACATTTTGCTTGCCTTCTGCCTCATAGGGTACAATTTTGGCCAAAAAACGCTTGCCTGTGGCATTCTCCTTACATTCCCGGATCACTCCGAAACGGCCTCTGCACAGAAACATGTAATATACATTTAGTGCATGGCTGGGTGCTGTTTAGTGCAATCTAGGACCACCTTCACGTGCAAAATCGATCAATCAAGAGTCCGGGGCCATTCCATGTAAAAACTTGGTGAATCAGTATTGACTAGCTCAGGGGTAGGCAACCTTGGCTCTTTTATGACTCGTGGACTTCAACTCCCAGAATTCCTGAGCCAGCATGGCTCAGCTTGGAAACCTCTCCCTTTCCCTCAGCATGGCTGGCTCAGGAATTTTGGGAGTTGAAGTCCACAAGTCATAAAAGAGCCAACTTTGCCTACCCCTGTTCTAGCTTTACTTATAACTGACATTACAACTTGCTAGAGAAACAAGAAGGGTGAATTATGTAACCTGTTCGTCACACTTCTTTTTGATGTCCTAACATGTGTAATCCCACAGAGCCCATCAAAGGGGTGGAGATAAAATAGTTATGTTCTGGACATTACGAAGGATAATACGAAATGGGAAACAGGAAATGTAAACCACTGTTTTTGGTCTCTCTCCTACAAAACACATCTGAAGTTGTTTTGAGCATTACAGCTCAAGGGCAATGTTGAAAATGCTTAGTTAAAGAAAAGGGTGATTGTGTAGCATATCAGCATATCATACAAGCTCCTTGCAAACTGAATTTTGTAATACAGAACTATAGGTCAATAATCCCCACAGAATTTGAGAGATTAGCAACAGATTTCAGATGGTTACTCATAAGCTCCCTGAGAGCTTGGGAGCAGTAGTCTTACAGTATAAATATTCCTAATGAGGAAACTAGATATATGCATCCTTAAAAAGCCTGGATAGAGGTGTGAGAATGCTCTTCAAGTACCTGAAAGGATGTCAGAAGGAAGTTCTGCCTTCCTGAAGCACAGGGTGTGAAATCATGGTAAGTTATAAAATAGCAAATTCCCACTGAATATTAAGAAAAATGGATAAAGCAATTTCATCAGTGAACCCAATTATCCACTGAGGGGTTAAGTTGCCCTTTGCTAGATTTGTTCAGGAAGCTGGATAACTTCTGTCAAGCATTTTAATCTGGATTCCTGCATTTACTAAGGGACTGAACATGATGGAACCAAATTATCTTTGACCAATCCATGAAATAAACAAAGAGAGGAAACTTATCTGGAGTTCAGTTCACAGTATTGCAATGATCTGGGAGTTACAACATCTATTCAACTCAATCAGCCCCACTGTGGCAATAGTACAAAACCCTCTGTTATTATTTACAAAGATCTGAGGCTGTGTACCATCTAAAACACCATATTGCAGAAATAACTCCATGAAAGATTTCAGTCACAATCTCTGACATCTCTGGCCAAAAAGCTCCAGGGGGAAGGGAAAATGTCATCTTATGAGCCTGTTGGACACCTTACTTGCATGTAGAACACTGGGCTAAATGGCCCAAGGTAGGATTCAGTATAAGGCAGTTTTGTTATTGATATGAATAGCTTACCTCGCTTTCTCATCCAAGAAGGTGTATGGTTTCTGAGGCACTCCTTGGCGCAAAGCGGATTCATCTTTTGAAGTAAGACTGCCCCGGGCTCCACTACTAGTATCCTTACTGGAGGTAACGTTCCGCCTTAGAAAACGTGTGTGTGAAGGCATTTCTTCTGTGGTGGGGGTGACTGAGGGGCTGGGGGCATCCTCTTTTGCGATAGGTGGTCTCGATGGGATGGAGACAAAAGAGGTGGCAACATATGGCACGGTTTTAGGAGAGATGGTCCCTGGTGAGTCCACCGTGGAAGTTGGAAGTGCAGGCTGGACTGGGGAGAACTTGGGGACAGAAGAACCAGGGGATGATGCTGGGGCAAGCAAACCCTTGGTGGTAGTCGGGACATTATGAGTGCTGAGGGAAGATGCTGTCCTGGAAGGCTTTAATGTTGGTTCTGGGAAAGGAGCCTTTGTCATGGATGGACCTTCCAAAGAGGGGGAATCCTGGGAAGATGGAAGGAGGGCTGTAATTGGGAGCTTTTCTTTCTCTGAAGCCACAGATGTCTCCTCACTGGCTTGAATCACTTGTGGCACCGCAGGAACCTGTCCTAAAACTGGCTCAGGGGTCGACAGAGGACCAGTGCTTTTCATCATTGGTTGGGGAGTCTGATCAGGAAGTGTCTGAGTAGATCTGGTTGAAGCTGTTCTGTTCTTCTTGGCAGGAAGACCTGAATGGGCAGCTGTGGGTTCTGAATGGGAAGAAAAACACAAAAGTGAAAGTTTCTAGGCTCACTTTCCTTCCAAAAGCCAGTGAGAATGCTGAGTTGAACTCCTCTCCAAAATAGGAATGCCAACTGTGATAGAACGGGATGAAGGAAGAAACATTCTCTGTATTAAAGGCAGCTGCATTTTGCTACCATGGGATGGATTTACAGCCAGTTGCAAGGCACAATCCAGAATGTGGAACTACATGGCAAGCGCTAGCCACACGGGCTGGAACAAGGGGTTGGCTGCTATAAGAAACAAGCTGGATGAGATGCCACCAAACAACCTCTACTGGTGTTTGCCTCCTGCTTTCCGAATTATTCACAGAAGGACTTCTCAAGAACTGTATATCACTCTGAAGTGTGGAGATAAGAATGTGGACTGAGCTTAAAACTTAAAAGGTATTGCCGCCTTGCAGCGAAGTAGACGGCAAGCAAATTTAATCAATAAGTAAAATAAATAAAAAGGTATCATGTTAACAATAGAAGAGAAATTGCCAGTTCGGAAAGATAGAAGCAGGGCACATCTTATTTTTTAATATGAGTAGAATCAAATACAGAATAAGAAAATTCCCATCCATCCAGTTAACTATCTCATCATGTTTCCCCCCTCCCTCTCAGTCCTTTTTGATAATGTCGTCTTTTTGACCAGGGGTCTTCAAACTTGGCAACTTTAAGACTTGTGGACTTCAACTCCCAGAATTCCTCAGCCAGCCCTGGCTGGCTGAGGAATTCTGGGAGTTGAAGTCCACAGGTCTTAAAGTTGCCAAGTTTGAAGACCCCTGCTTTTGACTGTAAATTGGAGGATGAGGACTATTTTATTATGGATACTTGTAAATGGTTCTGGGAATTGTATTTCACTGAAGAAATAATGTAAACTGGCATAATTTAATATGAGGCTTTCCTCCTTCTCACCTGCAGTCTCAATGAACACTTTCCCTGAAGGGTTGCTGTACGGGCCTTGTCCAGCTTTGTTGGCACAGGCAACACGGAACTTGATGGTGTTTCCAACGGGAAGATCCGTTGCGTTGAAGTAACAGTCAGCAATGCCTGAGCTAATTGTTTTCCAATCGTGTTCTCCTGGGGGGAAGAAAAAGGAGTTAGTTTTTTTTTAAAAAAAGTAGATCCCGTGAATGATCTTGACCGTCATGTTTTATTTTCAACCTCATCTGATTTGCTTTGCAAATCTAATGTGAATACGTATATTGGTGGGCAAATGGAGGTGAAGAGGCTGTGCCGAACAAGAAAATATTTCCAGTCTCAGAAACTTCCAGCATTCCAGAGAGTTGGATTTTGTTTTTGGCCACTGTTCAAAATCTGCTCTTCATACTTGGACTTAGTCCATTGAATCAGAGATGATAACCCACAACCCCAGAGTTCTTACTGTCACCAAATTTCAGAAGCACAATTGCTAAAAATGGACAGCATGGTTTTCTCCCATTCTGAAGCAGAAAACACCTCAGCTGCAACGTAACAGATAGTCAACTAAGATAAGATAACCTTTATTGTCATTTTTTACTGTGGGCACAACGGCACATATCAAAAATGAAATTTAGTTGCCCGCTCTCAAAGTGAAACACATACATGACACACCTCTAAACATACTATGTACAACATATGTATAGACAAGGGATAGGCAACCTTGGCTCTTTTATGACTCATGGACTTCAACTCCCAGAATTCCTGAGCCAGCCACGCTGAGGGGAAAGGGAGAGTTTCCAAGCTGACCTATGCTGGCTCAGGAATTCTGGGAGTTGAAGTCCATGAGTCATAAAAGAGCCAAGGTTGCCTACCCTGGTATAGACCCACACCCCTACATATACATAGCAAATAAATATTAAATACTGTCCATCTTGAATATATAATGGAAGGAGGAAGCTTGAGAGTTCACAAGGTTAATGCTGTATGGAATGAAACTATGGCTGAATCTGGATGTTCTGCTATGGGTACTACGAAGCCTCCTCCCAGAAGGTAACAAGGTATAACTAATAACTAATACTTTGATTTAAACTGCAAAGAGCCACATCCCAAGTGTGGAAAACCCACCCCTTCCAATACATGACCATTTTGTGACACTGCTCTTTTCACTGTTGCTTCTCACACCCCTCCCCCCAAAATGGCACGAATTCCAGCCATCAAAGACTTGCGCAACAGATGAGTTTTACTGAATGCAAAGAGCCAGAGAAAGGAGACCACCCTCTCTTCTTTCTGTTGCACTACCAGTGGTTTGGAAAAGAAGAGAAAAATCTAATCAGATAGGAGGGGGCAAAGCAATTAGTGACAGACTCATTAGAAAGAAACAGAATTCTTCAAATAAAAATGCAAGAATACTTCAGGTAGCGGTTCAGGAGAACAGCTGCTCTTGAGAATCTCTGCAGCGGATACATACTCTGCCACATCCAATAGGTACATACCATCTATCTTGCGTTCCAGTGTGTATGTGCAGGGCGCCTGAGTGTCTGCTGGCCTCCACAACACCAGGACTGTGTTCCTGTACTTTTGTGGAATTTCTGGAGTTCCTGGTCTCCCAGGAAGACCTGTTCCAAATGGGTTTTAAAAAGAGAATGAACTGAGGGACACGAACAGCAACTATATATATGGCAGAAATACCAATATTAATTCAAGGGGTGGGGGAGGAATTTTTAGAAAACCTTTGTTTATTCTTACGTGCCACAGCAATGGTGCAGGAACTAGTTGCAGTGCCCAAGGCATTTGTAGCATTACATTCATACAGGCCTGCATCCTTCTTGGAGACTTTGGAAATGGTGAGTAGCTGACGGCCATCCTTACATGCCACAATATTAAGAACTCCCTCTGAAACCAGGGCACGTTTATCTGTGGAAGGCAGAAAATAGTCAGCTCAACCAAACTAGAGACATTGATGATTCAGACTGCTCTTCATCAGACTTTCACATTTATGCTCCATTGCTATGGCTTCCCACATCTGATAACAATGTAGTCAAACACATAATTTTGATACAAAGCTGAAACATGTCCCTCCCCTTACTCTTCAATTTCTGGTTCTGAGTTTGCCAGGTAGATTTGGTCTAACACTGAATGACTACAGAAGTGAGTTAAGCTTAACACGGTCATTTCTAGATCAGGATCAGTCCTCCCTGGTTACTGTTCTTAAGCAATCCCATGTTACTAGTCTTAAATTAGCTAGTTTGTATCATATGAACTCAGAAGACTGGTTGATTGAGTTGATTCTCCTGCCACCACACGGAGTTAGAAGCCTTGTGGCCTTATAGAATGGAGGTTTTTTTTTACTGTGTTTCTTTAGTTGCTTTTGTTTTTAATCCCATATATGCACACATTTTTAATTACATACAGGTACATGAACCGAGACAGAGGGGTATCAAATTACAGGAAGGAAGGAAGGAAGGAAGGAAGGAAGGAAGGAAGGAAGGAAGGAAGGAAGGAAGGAAGGAAGGAAGGAAGGAAGGAAGATTATAAATAGCATAAAAGAGACAAGGACATTGGCCAAGATGACCACTGTCCATATAACAAAGAGAAGGACGAGGGGGGACATGAGAGCAGTGTTCCAATATCTCAGGGGCTGCCACAAAGAAGAGGGAGTCAAGCTATTCTCCAAAGCACCTGAAGGCAGGACAAGAAGCAACGGATGGAAACTAACCAAGGAGAGAAGCAACCTAGAACTAAGGAGAAACTTCCTGACAGTTAGAACAATTAACTGAATGCTCCAACACTGGAAGTTTTTAAGAAGAGACTGGATAGCCATTTGTCCGAAATGGTGTAGGGTTTCCTGCCTGAGCAGGGATTGGACTCAATGACCTCCAAGGTCCCTTCCAACTTTATTATTATTATTATTATTATTATTATTATTATTATTATTATTATTATTATTATTATTGTTGTTGTTGTTGTTGTTGTTGTTGTTGTTGTTTGTTGTTGTTGTTGTTATTATTATTATTATTATTATTATTATTATTATTATTATTATTATTATGTGCCACATCACAGAAAAAAACAGGGGTCACGGAGGCTGAGTCAGTTGTGTCATGTAAGCACACCCAGAAAGTTGGATTTAACTGAAAGGGCTTGTTGTTCTTGATGCAATTTAATTCTGGATTCCAACTCTTTGCAGTCACTGGGATGGCAGTTCAAGCCAAGGATTTAGGACGTGCCATAGGATTCTAATTGAGCCACTTCATCTATTTGGGCTACAGTTATGTCCCCTTTCTGATAAATTTCAGTTCAGTGATGAAGTTTCAAGGCTGAATACTACTCAGCTCGGCCAGCACTGCTATCACCTGCAGCCACCACAGCCAGTGGCAGAGCTTGCAGAGGATGATGGGAGTTGCGTACTCCCACACATTTGGAGAACGCGAGATTGGAGAAGGATAGTATAGTCCTTGCAAGGAGACTCAGAATGAATCAGGTTCCCCCCTTTCTTGACCTTGCAAGATCTGGGTAGCTCCTTGGCCTATCACAGCCCACACGTAGGAGGCATGTTCTCCTTGTGGTGCAGAACTTACCTTTCATCCACAGAATGCAAGGGGCGGGGCTGGCAGCAGGGAGGCAGCAAAGTTGCACTGCCTCTCCCTCCAACAATACCTGGTCCTTTAATTTTATGTGGAAAACAGGAGGGAAATCTGGTAGGAAAACAGATAAGAGGCATTCATTGGAAAAGGCTGTGAAATGCCACCTGGTTGGTACTGAAGGATTTGGCAGGAATCTAATTCTTATTACTGGGACAGGAATAATTCCCTCTAGCGAAGGCAGGTGATTTACAATCCTGAGCCTCTTTCTTGACCCTCTTCCTGAACTGCAGCCATAAAATTAAGTGGCAAATCATGCAAAATTGCCATGCCGCTTCCTGCCAATTCCTGATGGGAAAAACTAAAGTGGCAGAGTGTGCTGGGGTGAACTTAGCGCACCTAAAATAGAACAGAAACAATGAAAAAAAATATCCTTAAAGTTTGGAGGAAGAAAAGCAAAACAAAAATGGTTCCATCCTCTGACGTGACACCCTACCGTACTCTGCCTCTCCTCTGGTGAAAAAAAAAATTCATGTTTTCAAGAAGTGAAGGTTCCAGTTGCGAGCAAGCAAAAAAAAAAAAGTCACCTGTACAATTTCAGGTGACAAAAACAAATGTGTGAAAAAAACCACTTCCAAGCTGGAGGCCTTCAATATTGAGGGGCTTCCTGCCACTGTGAAAACTTTGTAACACAGACAAAATAGAAGTGAGCAGACCCGGTGCTCTCCCTCCCTGAAACTAAATGGCATACACTTACCCGATTCACTCAGCATGTAAGGTTGATTGACAATAACGACACCTTCCCCTCTCAGGCCGGCAGGGAGGTTGGGCTGAGAGGCCACCTTGTCCTTCTTGGCACGGGATAAACTCCAGCGATCCCAACGAGAGCTGCGTCGGTGGCCATCATTGGAAACTGTAGGGGCAACAAATACGGGCTGGCTCTTTCCTAACCAGAACAATAGAATCAATGCCTCTGGAGAAGGGCAAGTCTGTTTGTTTGAAACCCTGGCTTTCCTTGTGGTGAATTACACACACTTGCTACCTGTGCTCTGCTCCACCATAGCTGTACTTTTATCTTTTGTATACTCAGCTCTTCACTTTTGCCCTTCAGCCCTTCACATTTGCCCTAACATCACAACACAGGAGGTGCTACTCATAATCCTCCTTGGGGTGTCAGAGTCTCTTCTGGGCTTTTACTTAATTGCATACTGTGGCCATCATTCCCAAAGAGCAGAAGGCCTGGGGAATATTTTCTCATATTTTTCTTATTGTGAATTGTGCCCTTCCAAATTTTGGGGACCGAATAATGCTTGACTATGTTTTGTGCTGGTTGAAACTTATGGGGTAGAGTGCAAAACACATGGAGGCTTCACGGTGGCCTGTCAAACTCCAGGTGGCAGGGGAAGGCTTACCACACTGCATTTGAACAGTATGCTGAGTGTGTTAGTGTTTACTATGGCTACTTTTGTAAACCAACAACAACTGCTGGCTCAGGAATTCTGGGAGTTGAAGTCCACGAGTCATAAAAGAGCCAAGGTTGCCTACCCCTGGTCTAGAGTATTATGTGAACCCCCCAAATAGTTAATTCAGCAGTCATTGTGCACCAAGATACAATAATGTTGGTTGCTAGACTACATCATTTCAGTCTGCGAGGATATATATATGGCTCGGGAATATTTGAATGTGGTCACAAAAAGTGCCTATACCTGCTAAATTAACACGTTGGGTACATTTGCTCTTCCCTGATAGGTCTTCAGGAATAAAGATTATTTGAATATGGTGAAAGATGTGAATCTTATCAAATGCATCTTCCCAAGTACAGAATGCAGCAGCAACAGCACTGAGGCAGAGGTGTGCCTGGCCATAAGTTCCGTTTGCCGTCCTTCCTCTTTCCCTTCCCCTCCCAGGTAATGACTTGTAGCTCACCATTGCCTGTGGACGACTCAGACTGGAACGATTCTGTGGAGGGGACCTTAGCAGACTGGGCTGCCAGCTGGTTCTGTGGGATGCCCACCTGGCGCAGGTTTTCACCCTCAGAGGTTGCACGGCGTATCTGAGAGAGAAAGGGAGCTCTCTTCTCAAGCTGCCTGACGCGGTCACCAGTAGCAACAGCATGGTCGTCATCAGCCTGTTGCTGTGAGTGGCTACGTAGATGTGTGGAGAGGTGGCCTACTGTACTTCCAATCTTCCGGCGTACGGCCATAACAGGGGATTCACTGGAGCTAGGCTCGGATTGTTGGCCCTCTGTGTCCTTTTTGTCTTTGGAAGCCAAGCCCCAAGAAGGTCTACGTCCCCGGCCCATACTCCCTGAGTCCTCCTCCTTGACCTTCTTTCTCTCGGCAGGGGGAGTCCGACGCAGGCGCATTGACATCCTGCGAATGAAGCCTCCTTCCTTCTCCACTTCATGCAGGTCCTGTACTGAACGGGAGCGTGCTCCTAGCTGCTTAGGGGCCGTAGACTTGGAAAATTCTATTGGAGCACCTGCTGGTCCTGGCCGATAAATGCCTTCTTCCTGCACCAGGGGCTTGGCCAGGTGTCGCTCCTCAGATCTGGAGATTAGCTTATAGCCTCTGCTGAAGGAGCCTTCCCTGCCTCTCTTGAATTTGGCTTCAAAGACTTCTTCAGAGTCAATGTCCGCAATATGTTCAGCTGAGGAGGGAAGTTCTTTCTCTTTGCTGGAGACCACAGCAGAGAGTGGCATTTCTGTGGGGGATTGCTGAGGCACACCTTCCGAAGCAGCAATGGAAGGTTCAGTGCTCTCCCTCTGAGGGCTTTGGGAAGATTCACCAACCAAGGACTTCATGACATCAGCATAAGCAGAACGTTTTGGAGCAGAGCTGCCGGGGATGGGTGAGATTTTCCTGGATGGTATCGATTCCCGTTTGGAGCTCATGGCTTTCCCAGCCATTGGAGTATCAAGTTTAGGAAATCTGACTGATGGCTTCTCCTCAGACTGTCTAGGGATAGGTCTCCACAGGCTAGACCTAGTGAGGGACTTAGTTCCTACCTCCATCTCAAGGCTGGGCACTTTGGAGAGAGTTTCATGTGGTGTGTGAGGCCGGGACTCATTCAATGCTGAGAGGGATGGGGTCTCTTTTAATCTCTGAGTCTCTGCCTGTGCCAAGGGGATTTCCAATGGTGCCCCAGAGCGCCGGTGCAGGGTGACAGGCTCCCCATCACCCTGGCTGAAGGAACTACTTTTTTGGAGGAGGCGTCCCTCTGGGGGCAAGTGCTGTGGGGCTGTCTCACTAGAAGCTGCCCGTACCATTTTATGCCCTGGGGACATCTGTTTTTCTAACCGGGGAGGCCTCGGGACCTTCTTCTCAAGGCCAAGAGTCTCCAACAGGGGCCCCCGCAAGCCGCTCAGTTTGCCATCCACAGGACTGCCTCGCAGTAAGCGCTGACGCATGAGCTCCAGGCGCTGAGCATATTCTTCCTCAGGAAGGCCACCTTTCCTACGATACAATGTGCCAGGGCTGGGGCTGCGACGGGGCAGCTCCATGGAGGCCGCTTTGGTCAAGATTGGACGGGAGGGGGACTCAGCTTCATCTGAGGGAAGGTTGAGCAAAAGGGCACTATCTGCAGAACTGCCTCGGCGCAGCCCTCCCTTCTGTGAGGCTTTGTCAGATGCATCTGGAGACTCCAGGCTGGAGCCTTTCTTCAGTGCCCTCCTTTTCTCTGGCCTTCTCTGGATGTCACTAGTCTCCTCTTCAAAAGATCCCAGTGTGTCAGCCTCCGTGGAACGTTTTTGGGGCAACATGCTCTTATGCTTCCTCATGGATGACTCTACATCTTCCTTTCTCTGCTCTTCATCCTGCCAATCCATGGATGTATCCTCCTCCGTTAGAGCCCCATCTGGACCGACAGACTGCTCCTCTGTGGGAATCTCGGTGAGGGACATGCGGGAACCCGAAAATTCAGGCTGGTGGGGCATAGGAATGTAGGGCAGCTCCTCAGGGTCATCAGAATCTGAAGAAGAGGACAGGACTGATGTTTCCTTTAGGAGACGTGGCACAGCAATAGATAAGTGGGTGGATGTGTCCTCTAGAAGCTCAGGGATCGGTCGTGGCACCATGTTACACTTGTAGCTAATCTGGGAGCGCTGTGTAAAAAAAGTATAGGAAGGACAGAGAGATAGAGTGAGCTGGGATTCAGGCAAAAATGTAGAAATCTCCCATCTCTTCCACCTTATAGGTTTGGTTGCTGTGCCTATCCAGTAATAATATCCCCCATCCTGTTCTGTACAGACTTAAGCAGGCAAAATATTTGCTAGG